TATATCAGACCAAGTGGAGGAAAGTGGATTTAGAAGATTGTCTAAGATGTCACAAAGATTGATAGAGTTTACTTGATGGGGAAAAACAGACCAGTTAAATCTGATTTCAGATTTTTCAGTATGTGAGTTCTGTAACTTCTTATCTTTGCCCCTAGACATGTGTGAATTCTTTCTTGCTAAGACCTGAAGCCTTATTCACCACTGTCTTATGTCATCTTGTTTTCAAGCCTAGACCTGCTATTGTCTCCCCTTTTCAATATGGTCAATAGAAATACAGTCAGATCCTGACTAAGGGACACAGAACCAGGAAAGAGACAACAGAACGGGCATGGGCAAGAAGACTGCAGATTACTTTTTATTTAGCGGCAGAGATCAAATGTCTGGATCAGGTTGACTTCAAAAAGCAACTGGAAATAGCAACAAGAATGGTACAGTACCTAAGTATACATTTAACAACAAATGTGCAGATTTTATATGGAGAAAAATAAAACTTTAAAACGCTCCTGAAAGACATAAAAGTAGACGAAGTGGACATAAAAAGTAGACAAACAAATGGAACGACATCCCTGTTCTTCGACAGGTTGACTTAGTGTCCTATGTATCATAAAGATACCAATGCTTCTTGTGTTAATGCAGTCCCCACAAGCTACCAACCAACCTTGTTCTGGTGCCAAACTGATACTAAAGTTCATACAGGAACACAATCAGACATTCAAGAGCAGTTGGAAAAACACTGGAGCAAAAGAGCCACTTACCAGTGAAAGCCTCTAGCATTCAGAGTGTCATCCTGTACGTGATGCACAATCAGACCAAACTGATTAGAATAAACAGCCCAAAAGCAGGCCCTAATGTTGTGGCAATTGCATACATGATAAAGGTGGTGTCTCCAATCACTGGGGCAAAAGCATTAGTAAATGGTGTGAGGACCACCAGATAACAAGATATAAAAATAAACTGTAAACTAAACCCACTAGGATTAAGAGAAAATATGGATGTCTTTCTCTATAGTGTAAGTGTGAGGCAATGCTTTCTAAATGCAACTCAAAATCCAGATGTAACAAAAGACAAGACTCATAATTTGAACTACCTAAAAATGGAACATAGTAGCATTGAGGGGGAAAAATCATTGCAGAGGTGGGCATTGTGGTACAGAAGCTTAAGCCACCACCTGGGAACCTGCATCCCATACTGGAAAGCCTGGGATCAAGCCCTCTCTCTATCTCAACTTCTGATCCAGCTAGTGCACATGAGAAGTGGCAGATGATAATCCAAGTACTTGAGTCCCTGCCAACCTTGTGGGAGGCTTTGCTGGAGTTCTTGGCTCCTGGCTTTGGTCTTTGCCTATCCCTAGCTGCTGTGGGCATTTGGGAAGTGAACCAGCAGATGGAAGATCTCTCTCTCTCTCTCTGTCTCCGTGTGTGTGTGTGTGTGTGTGTGTGTGTGTGTGTTCCTCCCTCTCTGTCATTATGCCTTCAAGTAAATAAATTAAAAAATTGAAAAAAATCATGGCAAAGTCATCAGGGAACTGAAAACTGAAAAAAATTTTGCAACATAGGTCACGGTTAAAGGGCCATTTTAACATCTAATATGTTGAAGTTGATGTGATGGGGGAGGTGAGAATGCTTCTGGAGCTTTTTCCTAGCTTATCATTCAGTCTTCACCTTGGCTATTCTATGGAGGCCACTGTAATTAGCTTGCTGTTTTGCTCTTCTGAATCAATGTTTCACGGTCACTTTGCTGTTAGTTTTTGCTAACTTGTACTTTCACTCCCTAGGACTTGCTTGATTTATAAGTGTTTTCCCCGTTCACATTCTGCCCTGGGCCTTGCACCTGGTGTTTCCCCAAGGCCAGCAGCAATGACTGGTTTGCTGGACTCTTACTGCACTGAGGGTTCCCGGTGGGACAGCTCCTGTGTGGGTGGCAGGAGCTCAGGGAAGGGGGTTGGATCCAGGAGATCCCCTTAGCAGAGATTAATCCAAGGCAAAAACCACTTAGTTTATAGTCATGGGGATTTCCAGGTGTTATTATTACAGACAGAGGGCCTTTTATTGTGTCCCAACAGGAATGGGGGTTTTCAAAGTTTTCAAAGAAGGGGGTAAAACAAATAAGTCTTAGCTTATGGATATCTAAACTGAATCTTCATTTTCATCTTTATTATTTGAGGAATCATACTTGAGTGCACACAGACTAAATTTCATTATCTTCAAATTCATTAAAGTGTCATGAATGGACAGCAGGAAATAATGATGTTCTGGAGTGAGGGAATGTTCTGGAACATTAAGGGAATAGTGCCCAAACTGCCTCTCAGGCTCCTTCCTCCCGCTGTGTCACTGGGGAGCAGCTGCTACCAGAGATTCATGTATACATGGGGACAGATGGATGCATTTCCTGAAGTACATTCTTGTGGAAATTTGATCTGGATTTTGAACTAGATCCATTCACATTTGGCCTGTAAATGCTTCTATAACAGCATTTTGTCCTAATGAGGACTTTTTGCTCTTTGAAAGCCTTTCTTCATCACTCGTCTTGTTTGATCTCCATGTGGTACGAGAAACAGGATCAGATATTGCTGTTCCCATTTTGCAGATGAGATCCCAGGAACTGAGAAAGATTAAGAGGTGGGGAGATGGCCAAAGGTAGGACTCTGGATTCAAAACCAAGGCACCTGGGATAGATGCAACCTGGCCATTAGCCAGATAAGGTGTCTTGAGCAAGCAAATTACATGAAGCTTCCGAACTTCCACTCTAGCTTCAATTAAATGAGAAGTTTGTCCAAGATGGTCCCTGGGGGGCCTCCAGAGTTGCTGTTGTAGGCTTTGACTACTTGCCCGACTTCACCAGGAATTCCTCAGTAGATCTACAGCAGTATACCAGACCCCTGAGCTGAAAAATCCTCCCCTTGTGCCCCGCACAGTGCAGAACCAAGACTCACTTGAGATGAGGGTAGATATTTTCCTTCTGCAGGCTACAGATGTAAGGAGTGGGCTTTCTTGTCTGATTACAAGAAATTTCTTAAGTTCATTTTATTTTCTGTTAATTTTCAAATCTTCTATTGGCATTTCTTCATTAATATATTCCAGCTTTATTGAAGTGTATTTACATACCATAAAAATTACCCAATGCAACTGGGTGAATTCAACACTTCAATTTGTAGAGTTCTACAACCATCATCACAATCCAGGTTTTGGATCTTTTCTTTCTTTTCCAAAAAGTTTTTTCGTGCCCATTTCCTTCAGGTGCCATCTCTGCCTCTGGCCCCAGGGAGCCCAGTTCTGCTTTCTGTCTCCATCACTTTTCTGGATATCTCATATACAGCACTTCATATGATATGTAGTCTTTTCCATTGGATTCTTAAAGTTAGCACAGTGTGTTTAAGGTTCATCCATATTGTAGCGTGTGTCAACACTTTATTCCTTTTTATGGTCCAACAATACTCTATTGTATGGATATACTGTATTTGGTTTATCTGGGTATCAATTTATGGTTAGATGTTTGTTTTTGTCCTGCACATTTTAGCTGTTATGATGTACACTGCTAAAACATTTAAGTACACATAATTTCTCCTGGGTAAATTTTTTTTTTTATTTGACAGGTAGAGTTATAGACAGTGAGAGAGAAACAGAGAGAAAGGTCTTCCCTCTGTTGGTTCACCCCCCAAATGGCCGCTACAGCTGGCACGCTGCACCGATCCAAAGCCAGGAGCCAGGTGCTTCCTCCTGGTCTCCCATACGGGTGCAGGAGCTCAAGCACTTGGGCCATCCTCCACTGCCCTCCCAGGCCACAGCAGAGAGCTGGACCGGAAGAGGAGCAACCAGGACTAGAATCCGGTGCCCATACGGGATGCCAGCGCCGAAGGCGGAGGATTAACCAATTGAGCCACGGCACTGGCCCCAAATTCTTTTTTTTTTTTTTTTCAAGATTTATTTATTTATTTGAAAGTCAGAGTTACACAGAAAGAGGAGAAGCAGAGAGACAGAGATCTTCCTCTGATGGTTCACTCTCCAGTTGGTCACAACGGCTGGAGCTGCACCGATCCAAAGCCAGGAGCCAGGAGCCAGGAACTTCTTCACCCATGTGGGTGCCAGGGCCAAAGGACTTGGGCCATCCTCCACTGCTCTCCCAGACCACAGCAGAGAGCTGAATGATAAGTGGAGCCAGGTCTCGAACCGACGCCCACATGGGATGCTGGCCCTTCAGTCTAGGGTGTTAACCCACTGCGCCACAGTGCCAGTCCCCTGGGTAAATTCTTAAGAGTAGAAATGCAGACTTGTTTTCTTTCTTTTTAAGTATTATTAACTAATTAATTAGTTAATTTAAAAACTGAGGGAGAGAGAGAGAAAGAGAGAGAAGACTTGGGTCATCTGCTGATTCACTACCCAAATGCCCACAATGGTTGGGGGTGGACTAGAACTGAAGGCAGGAGCCAGGAACCCAGTCTGGGTCTACTACTTGGACGGGTGTCAGGGACCCAACTAGTTTAGCCATCATCAGTGCCTCAGGGTCTGCATTGGCAGGAAGTTGGAGGCAGGAGCCGGAGTTGGGACTTAAAGCCAAGTACTTGGAAGTAAAACATCTAGGCAGCTAGGCATCTGGGCTAAACACCTGCCCCCAGGGTTGCTTTCTTAAAGTCTTATGCAGTGAGGCCGGCGCTGTGGCATAGTGGGTAAAGCTGCTGCCTGCAGTGCCAACATCCCATATGGGCTCTGGTTCGAGTCCCAGCTGCTCCACTTCCAGTCCAACTTTCTGCTATGGCCTGGGAAAGCAGTGGAAGATGGCCCAAGACCTTGGACCCTGTACCCGCGTGGGAGACCCAGAAGAAGCTCCCAGCTCCTGGCTTCGGACTGGTGCAGCTCCAGCCTTTGTGGCCATTTGGGGAGTGAACCAGCAGATGAAAGACCTGTGTGTGTGTGTGTGTGTCTTTCTCTGCCTATGAATCTAACTCTGCATTTCAAGTAAATAAATAAATAAATAAATCTTTTAAAAAAAGGTCTTATGCAGTGTTTGAAACTCTGCGTTTTACATAGAAAAATATGTGGGATAGTAAATGTGTAATCTGTGTTAATAAGCTTTCTTGTCATGTTTTGTAGCTTTTAAAAAAGCTACCTTAGGGCAAGAATCTACAGTTTATAATCATATAGAACAAGGATCTGTCGTGGTCTGAATTGTGTTCCCTCCCTCCAAACTCGTAGGTAATACCCCCAATACCTCAGAATGTGGCTGTATTTGGAAATTCGCCCTTTGAAGAGTTAATCAAGGTTAAATGAGGTCATTGGGCGGGCCCTAGTCCAGTAGAACTGGTGTCCTCATTTGAAGAGGAAGAGACCTGAGCGGTGTATGCGCACACAGGCAAGACCATTCGAGGACACAGCAGGAAGGCAGCCACCTGCAAGCCAAGGAGAGAGGCCTCAGGAGAAACCAGCTGGCCACACCCTGATCTTGGACTTCAGCCCCAGAATTGTGAGAAACGAATATTTGTTGTTTAAGCTCCTAGACTGGTATTTTGTGATGGCAATCCTAGTTTAAGAAATTTGCTTTTCCATGCCCTTGACAGAGTGTTCGATCATATTGATCCCCTCCACACGTGGCACTTACTGTTCAGTTGGCCAAATCCTCTGCTGTCTTTCGTGGATCCTTCTGCAGCTGCCTTTATTCTGTTCCCTTCACGTGGGTGGCCTTCTCCCTGCAGTAGTTCATGGTCGCATCTCTAATTACTCCCACAGCAGCCCCAAGACACTTCCTCTGCAAACACCTCCTTCCTCTTGGCAAGGATGCTCCTCCACCCTCCCTCCCCAGCCATCTATTTATCTGTGCATTTCTGTAGCCCGGGCTCTTCCATCCGGTCTGCCAGCCATTGAGTGCAGCTCATCCCTCATGCTAGGCTAAGAATCCTCTGGCCACGGCCAGTGAGGTGCGGATGTGTTGTCCTCCTAAGCTATGCTCTGGCTCAATGTTTAGTACAAAGTTAAAATTGTTTTAATTAAATTAAAAAAAAAAAACCAGCAACTCAAAATATCAAAATATTTTAAAAGTTTCAGAACTTGGGGAATAGAATGCCAAAAGTGAAATAGTGGGTAGAAAAGGCTTGGCTACAAATGCAAGAGCAGCAGAGAGAACACACACTGGGAAGTCACTGCTGGTGACCACCTGCCAAGTCACTTCCTGGCTCCAAACCTCAGCTTTCTTACCCCTGGGTAAAAGAGTTCATACAGCAAAGGGCTGCTTTATGACTAACATTACATATTTCCGTGGCTGTGAGTTCCGCGGGATTCCTCTTTTTTGAAGTGCCTGCCTGATTATATGGCTGGCAGAAGACATTCGAAGTCTAAATTACACTGCAAGTCAAAAAAATAAGCATAAAGCAAGTTGAGTTTCTGTTTTCCATGTAGAGCTCTTTCCAGCGTAGGGAATTTAGAAGTGCTACTCAATGTCTTCTGGGTGTCCAAACCCTCAAAAGGGAAAAAAGTTTCAGGAAGTCAAGTCACTCATCTTTGACAATGAACAGTTTTAAAGTAATGCATTCACTCACACATAAGCACACATGACGGATCTTCAAAAAGTTTATGGAAAATGCATGTTATGAAAAAGCTTTGCATGGATTTCAACTTTTTTTTGCACCAAAATAAACTTACCTTTTACTTCCTTTTTTCATGAACTTTTGGAAGTGCCCTCATGTGATTACACACACTAGCTCAGAATCACAGAGCGTTATTTTCCAATCAGCCTCCACCGGGAGAATGGGTTGTATGGGAATTACTCTATAAAGCAAAATGCAAAAATTCCCCAAATGACAAGAAAAAATGAGCTTGTGTGGTAAACAACCCCAGAAGGGGCAAATACTTCTGCATAAATGGTCTTTGACTTTCTTGGCTAGAATTTTCACTTCTCCTTTGGGGTTTTCTTTAACTGTTTCTTTCACCCTCCCTACCACACACAGTCTCCAGGGATTTGTAGATCTTTGTTTCTTTAGGCTGAGACATAGACACAAACACTGTTCTTTTCCTCCTCTCATTCAGCAAAATTTTGAAAAAAAAAAAAAAAAAAGGCTGGGAGAAACCAAGGAGGGGGAGAGGGGAAGAAGGGTTCATGAGCACCCGGTCTGAGCATCAGTGTGCAAGTCTCTGATCAGAGGCTGCTTGCTCATCCAGACCCCAGGCTGGCTGGTACTACGCTGCAGGCAGGCCCGTAGAACCTGGCACTTTTCTCCCTACTCCTGCCTGCTGCCATCTGGAACACCACCTCCTGGGTGAGAGATCAGTCCACCTAATTATCCAGAACCATTAATGGCAGAGAAAGGCCAATTGTGTGGTCTTCAGGAAGTTCGCTAATCTTCTGGGACCTCCTATTTGACTGTGTTTTCACTTCTAGTTATAAGCTCTTGTTTCATTCACTGAGCATCAATAGTTGATCCTTCTCGAGCCTATCAACTTGTTTCTTATTTCCATCCCAGGTTAGAAGTTCTAGCTCATCAGTGATGGAAAGGAGCAGATTTCCAGCCATGATGGTCACAAAAACTTGACTTCCTTTTCCCCTTACCCTGCTTTTCTTCCTCCTCTTAGATCTGATGGAAAAGACCTCTTTGGTAGAGTAGAACATCTGGGATTTTATTAGTACAATAGCACATTGACTTGCAAATAAATACATAGTCATTATTAGCAGAGGACAAGCTGGGCTGGCTTAGTAGACAGTGCTGGTGATTCTCCCGCATCTGCAAGAATGGGTCCCAAACCAGCAGCTTCAGCATCTCCTGGGGGCTTGTGGGACAGGCCAGATCTCAGGATCCGCCTCAGACCACTCAGTCAAAAGCTCAGGACATAACACTGTTTTATTTATAATTTTTTTAAATTAAAAAATTTCTTTTTATTTACTTGGAAATCAGAGAGAGAGAGAGAGAGAGAGAGCGAGCAGACATACAGCTTTCATCTGCTGGTTCACTCCCCAAATGCCACCAACAGCCAAGGCGGCTGGGCCTGGCTAAAGTTAGGAGCTCAGAATTCAATTTAGATCTCCCATCTGGGTGGTAGGAACCATCACCTGCTGTCTCAGAGTGAGCATTAGCAGAGAGCTGGAATAGAAAGCAGAGCCAGAACTCCAACCCAGGTACCCCCACATGGGATCCGGACATTCCAAGCAGCATCTTAACTGCTATGCTAAACACAAGCCCCAACACTCTGTTCTAATAAGCCCTCCAGAACTTTCTGATGCCTGATCTGGTTATACAGAATCAGTTCTTCTCCCTCTCTTCTCTCTCTCATAGTGATAGAACACTGATTTATTCAAGGCAGCAATGTTCCCAGCTGAAAGACATCTCTTCTTTGCCTTGCAGATGGGATTGGCCAATGGGGTGTGAGCAGAAGTCAGTAGTTGAGGCTTCTGGAGAATCTCATTGGCTGACTCCACTAGTGGGAAGATCCTTATTTTCTTTGCCCTCTTCCTTCTATTCCCTGTGAGGAACCAAAGGCCCAGCAGCCAACTTGGACCAAGAGGTGACCTGGAGGATTGTCTCCGTCTTGTGCAGCTGTAACAGGATACCTGAGTCTGGGTAATTGTAAAGACCAGAGATCTGTTTCTTACAGTTCTGGAGTCTGGACAGTCCAAGCTCAAGGGGTCCACAGGTGGCAGCAGCCTTCCTGCTGTCTCACCCCTTGGTGAAAGACAGAGGGAGAAAAAGCACATGTGAGAGAGAGGAAGAGGGGAAGGCAATAGATCCCTTTGTTTGCTCTGGAATCCACTCCCTCAATAACTAGCCTCACCTGACATATGGCGTTAGTCCTTTCATGAGGCCAGAACCCTCAAGGCCTCATCACCATGGAAAGGTTCCGCCTCTCAACATTGTTGTACCAGGGACTCAGCCACTGACATATGAACTCTGAGGGCAACGCACAAGCTGTAGTGAGGATGGAAGAGACAAACTGAGGACAGTGGATTTAGAAATTGAAGGAGGCCAGTGCCGGGGCTCACTAGGCTAATCATCCGCCTTGTGGCGCCGGCACACCGGGTTCTAGTCCCGGTCAGGGCGCCGGATTCTGTCCTGGTTGCCCCTCTTCCAGGCCAGCTCTCTGCTGTGGCCAGGGAGTGCAGTGGAGGATGGCCCAAGTGCTTGGGTCCTGCACCCCATGGGAGACCAGGAGAAGTACCTGGCTCCTGCCATTGGATCAGGCGTGATGCGCTGGCCGCAGCGCGTCGGCCGCGGCGGCCATTGGAGGGTGAACCAACGGCAAAGGAAGACCTTTCTCTCTGTCTCTCTCTCTCACTGTCCTCTCTGCCTGTCAAAAGAAAAAAAAGAAAAAAAAAAAAAAGAAATTGAAGGAGACTTGGTCCCTCATAAGGTGCACTCTTTTTATCAGTCCTGGACCTCCTTCCGAAAGCTTCTTTATTAAAACAAAGAGAGAGAAAGAGAGAGAAATAGATCTCTGTCTTATTTAAGCCATTGTGAGATTTTATGTTCCATGCAGTTAAAACCAATCCTAATACATTTTGTAAGTACTCTATCTGGAAAAACTTTTAGAGCTAAAAGCCTATTCCTGCAACACATGATGACAGTGGGTATCATTCTTCAGGGCAAGACGTTTACCTGAAGAAAGGCTGAGGGGGGCAAAAGACAGAAAGGACAATGGAGAGAATCATGGCTGCAGGGGTGAGACCAGAGTCACAGTGTCAATCTGACGCCCATCCAGGAGGGGTCCTTCATGGACTGATAAGTTTACTCTGTAACAAGCAAACAAAAAGTTCTCACCATCCTCTGGCCTTTGTTTGTGTCAGCTAATAATAAAAGTTGGGGGAGTAGGCATTTGGCATAGTGGTTAAGATGCTGCTTGGGACACCCGTATGCCATATCAGAGTGCCTATGTTCAAGTCCCAGTGCTGCTCCTGATTCCAGTTTCCTGCTAATGTGTACCCTGTGAGGTAGTAGGTGATGGCTTAAGTAGCAAGAACTCTACCACCTGTGAGAGACCTGGAATTATATATATATAAAATATACCTCTATCCTAGGGATTGCGATGGGGCAATAGATATATGCTGTAAAGTTTGCTTTTGAGAAACTCAAGACTAAAATAAAAGAATATAAATATATGCCCAGTAAGAGAAAAATCCTTGTATTCTATAGTTGCTCAGAGACTTGTTTTCAAAGAGTTTAATATTTTTTTCTTTTTTCTTCTAGGCTAAGGGCAGTGCTCTAGCTTGCTAAGGTTGATCTCCAGGGTTTCCCATGAATGACTTATGAGTTATTTTATGAGGGTGGTTAACAAAAGTGGCTAGATGTGAGCGCTCTGTGTTGGACGGCTGATTCGATCTATGATCCAAGTCAATTTCCTTCATTAAGGAAATAATCCAGGGATTGTTTCATTTTGTCCTTCTAAGTTTTCCTTGGGGTGGCTTCTCCCGCACCTGACCTCAGAAATAGCCCTCCTTAGAGCTCTTGCTGAAGTGAACTCAGGGCAGGAAAGAGCTCCTCTAAACAGCTTGGTGCATTGGGCCCCTCTGGAGAGAATAGTCATTCCTTCAGTCACTAAACAAATGTTTATTGAGTGCCTCTTACTTGGCAGGTGTTATCCTCAGAGCTGTGAATTGAACTGGCAAGGTCCAGACCTGCTTTCAGAGTTCACAGTCAGAGTAGAGAGACAGATGAGAAAAAAAGCAAAGACAAAGGACAAGGGAAATTAAGGAAAATGGCACAAAATGTCACATGGGCCATGAAGGAAACACACAGGATGCTAACAGAAAAGCCAGGGTGAGGGGCACAGATCTTGTATGGCTGCCAGGAAGGGCTACCGGAGGAGGCAACGTTTGAGTTGAAGCTTAAAGATGGAGAAGGAGCCACGTTGGGAGCTGGTGTTTAGGGGAAAGTTAGGGAGTCCCAGGGAGCGAAAGAAAGACAGTGCGCAGGGGTCGTGGGGAGGGGTTGTGGGAGGGCAGCAGGGAGAGTGGCTTTCACCGTGGAAGCCTGAATGTTAAGCACCGGCTGTCCCCGGCAGTAGGGCTGCTGCCTAAGCAGTTAGGTAAATTGCTGGAAGGCTGGGAGTTGCATCTGATTTGTTTTTCTCCAGCCCCCTGTACTTTCCCCTTTCAATTTGGTTTCAGGTAAGCTGATTAAAACTTGTTGAAGGATCTTGAAGAGCACACATGGGTAACAAAGGATGAAAAAGATAATCGGAGATGAAGAGAGAAGGCAGGCCAGGATAACTGGCACCAGGAGGCTCATAGCTTCCGTCTTAGAGAAATCACAACACTCAGCCTTTGAAAGTAGACAAGGTATAAATCTTATTTTATGATTTTACTTTTTAAAAGCTCAATTTATAAAGTAAGCAATTAAAGTGTTCAAATTGAAAAGCCAAAGTAAATCACAATTATGTATCAGATCTTTTTAAAAAAAATAAGGCTTATTTATTTATTTAAAAGGCAGAGTTTATAGAGAGAGTAAGAGAAAGACCCTCCATTCACTGGTTTGCTCCCCAAATGGCCACAGTGGCCCTGAGCTGGTCTGGTCTGAAGCCAGGAACCACAAGCTTCCTTTGGGTCTCCCAAGTGAATGCAAGGACCCAAGGATTTGGGCCATCTTGCGCTGCTTTCCCAGCCACATTAGCAGGGAGCTGGATCAGAAGTGGAACAGCCAGGACTCGAACCAGCACTCCTATGGGATGCTGGCATTGTGGGTGGCAGCTTTACTGGCTACACCACAATGCTTGGCCCCACGTGTCGGCTCTTAATCAACTTAGATATTTTTCCCTCTCCCTCAAAATGAAGCCTCCACTGGAATCCCAGCAACAAGATTGCCCTCCATAGAATTGGAGACAGAAAGGGGTCTTATCACATGATGTCCCCTCAGCGTGAATCTTGAAAAGGTCCAGCATAAAGCCATGCATAAATGCACATACATTTCGGAGAAGTTCTCAAATCGATTCCAGCAGTACGAGAAAGGAAGTTATCATGAAAAGGGAATCTTCCCTTAAGTGAGATACTCAGCAGACTCATAGAATGGCAGATGTCCTAAATAGCACTCTGGCCTCAGAATCAGCCCTAAAGGCATTCGGATCTGGCTGAAAAGCCCATGAGAGTATTTCAGGCATGGAAAGCCAAGACACTCTGGCAAAAAGATCTCTGTGAGTGAGATCCCAGTGGAAAGAACAGGTCTTCAAAGAAGGAGGTACCTTTCTCTGAAGGGAGGAGAGAACCTCCACTTTGACTATGACCTTGTCTAAACAAGATAAGAGTCGGAGAACTCAAGGGGCTTCCATAGCCTTGGAAACTCATGACTGGTGCATAGGGAGATTACTGATGCCATAAACAGGAGTGTCAATTTGTAAAGTCAACAACAGGAGTCACTGTGCACTTACTCCTCATGTAGGATCTCTGTCCTTAATGTGCTGTACATTGAGGCTTAATGCTATAACGAGTACTCAAACAGTATATTTCACTTTGTGTTTCTATGGGGGTGCAAACTGTTGAAATCTTTACTTAATGTATACTAAACTGATCTTCTGTAAAAAAAAAAAAAAAAAAAGAAATTATCAATTCCCAACTTGACTCTCACTGGGATTAAACATGACAATAGGTCTGATCTGATTTCATCATCATTTAAAAAAAATCATCTATTATTTTTCACTTTATGTTTCTGTGTGGGAGCAAACTGTTGAAATCCTTACTTAATGTATACTAAGCTGATCTTCTGTATATTAAGATAATCGAAAATGAATCTTGATGTGAATGGAAGGGGAGAGGGAGTGGGAAAGGGGAGGGTTGTGGGTGGGAGGGACGGTATGGGGGGGAAGCCATTGTGATCCATAAGTCGTACTTTGGAAATTTATATTCATTAAATAAAAGTTAAAAAAAAAAAAGGGAATCTTCCCTTGATTGATGGCAAGATGCCAGTCGCGTGACTTGTCAAATCTGAAAACAAACAGTGCAAGTCCTCTCTGAAAGGTTATGATGTCGTGAATTCAAATTGCCAGGGGCAGATGCAAGGCCTAGGTGGAAGAGGAGAGCATTCCACCATTGGCCCAGGAGGGGAAGAAGTAAGGCTTTCTACTCCAGTCTAGCCTTATCCAGCTGCTGACTGCCCAGATGCAAATACAGGAAGGAAATTGCAAACCGTCCCTTTCCACACCCAGTCTCCCCTGTGGTTGTTAATACCAGACAACAGCCCAGGGAGGACCAGCGTGACTCAAGTGAGAATCAGGGATTCCCCAAGCCCTGCCTTTCTATGTCTTTCCACCAGGATCAAGCTGGAGGCTGGCCGGCCGGCAGAATCCTGTCACCTGCAGCATTGCAAGATCCTCTTGACTTAAATTTCTAAAAGTCCTTTTAATCAAGCCAAATTCTCAAAAGCTGCACACTTAGACTATATTGGCTTCCACTGCACTGTTCTAATTAAACTGTTTTAATTAAATTTCTCACCATCTTAAAGTATGTGTTCTGGGAGTCAGATTTAATTTGATTTCTTAAAATAGTATGATGTTGGCCGGCGCCGCGGCTCACTAGGCTAATCCTCCGCCTTGCGGCGCCGGCACACCGGGTTCTAGTCCCGGTCGGGGCGCCGGATTCTGTCCCGGTTGCCCCTCTTCCAGGCCAGCTCTCTGCTATGGCCCGGGAGTGCAGTGGAGGATGGCCCAAGTGCTTGGGCCCTGCACCCCATGGGAGACCAGGAGAAGCACCTGGCTCCTGCCTTCCGATCAGCGTGGTGCGCCGGCCGCAGCATGCTGGCCGCAGCGCGCTGGCTGCGGTGGCCATTGGAGGGTGAACCAAGGGCAAAGGAAGACCTTTCTCTCTGTCTCTCTCTCTCACTGTCACTCTGCCTGTCAAAAAAAAAAAAAAATAGTATGATGTTGAGGAAATTCATACCTGTGTCATTAAGTGTGTTTGTAGACGGTTCACCCTGCAGTCTGATGAGGAGGAGACTTTTCCTTCATTTTTAGCTCACAAGTATAGGTTATGTAACTTGCTGCTCTAGTATTTTATTTTATTTTTTAAAATTTTGTGTATTTTAAAGGGGGAGAGAGAGAGAGAGAGCAAGAGAGAGCATCTACTTGCTGGTATACTCCCCAAATGTCTGCAATAGCCATGGGTGGGCCAAGCTGAAGACAGGAGCTGATCTGGGTCTCCTGTGTAGGTGGCAGGAGCCTTCACCTGTTACCTCCCACCATCTGCATTGGCAAGAAGCTGAAATCAGTAGCAGAGCTTGGACTGGAAACGAGGCACTCTGATAAGGGATGTGTAGGTATCACAAGTAACATGTTAACTACTGGGCCAAGCACCTGCCCCTGCTACAGCTTCATTTAAAGATTTATTTTTATTTATTTGAAAGGCAGAGTCGGCCGGCACCGTGGCTCAATAGGCTAATCCTCCGCCTTGCGGCGCCAGCACACCGGGTTCTAGTCCCGGTCGGGGTGCCGGATTCTGTCCCGGTTGCCCCTCTTCCAGGCCAGCTCTCTGCTATGGCCCGGGAGTGCAGTGGAGGATGGCCCAAGTGCTTGGGCCCTGCACCCCATGGGAGACCAGAATAAATACCTGGCTCCTGGCTTCGGATCAGTGCGATGAGCTGGCTGCAGCGCGCCGGCCACGGCGGCCATTAGAGGGTGAACCAACGGCAAAAAGGAAGACCTTTCTCTCTGTCTCTCTCTCTCACTGTCCACTCTGCCTGTCAAAAAAAAAAAAAAAAAGTTAAAAAAAAAAAGAAAGGCAGAGTCACAGAGAAAGGGGCGGGGGGAGAGACAGACATTCACTGGTTCACTCTCCAAATGGCCACCAAGACCAGGGCTGGGCTAGGCCAAAGCCAGGAGCCAGGAGCTTTTTCTGGGTCCCCCACATGGGTACAGGGGCCTAAGGACTTGGGCCATCTTCCACTGCTTTCCCAGGCGCATTAGCAGGGAACTGGATCAGGAGTGGAGGAGCTGAGATTTGAACCTGCCCATATGGGATGTTGACATCACAGGTGACAGCTTGACCATTATGCCACAATGCCAGCCCCTGCTCCAGCTTCAAACGCCAAAAGAAAGCCAAAGAAAGAAGAAGGGGGAGGAAAAGGAGACAGAAGAAAGGGTAGGGATGAGGAAGAGGCTGGAGATGGGAAAGATGGAGGAGAAAGAGAAGGGCCAGGAATGGAAAAGAACCCAAAAGACCAAAGGGACTACGGAGGGAGAAAAAGAGTGGGGAAACCAAGTTAGGCTCAGACACGAAGCACTGAAAACTTTTCCACCACTTTCTTGGTTTTGTCTGTAGGCTGAGCATCTTGTAGTAGGATTGTCTGCTAACGGCTTAGATGTTCCCAGCCTTACAGCCATAGTATGACACTGGGTCATATTTCAATGTCTAGATCTGGGAGGGTGGGAGCTATTGTCATGCTCTCCATTGTTTCCCCGTATGTGTTTGACTTCTTATAGTCTTCATTTGGCTCTTTTAGCTCAGCAGCCCTGGTGGCAGGAAACACCATTCTTTCAATATCCATCTTGTAGCTCCAGAGATATATTTTAGTTGACCTTCCTTGGGAATCCAGAAACAACAGCTCCCACGCCATTGCAAACAATGAGGACACTGATTAGTCTGGGAGGTTGTGGGGAGTAAAATGAATTGAGTTGTATAGTATCAGAGAATGGAGGATGAAAAGTGTTGGCTGCTAGCAGTAGACAACATGGGAAGTTCTAACCAGGAAGGAGCCAGGATAAAAGGGTGGATGCTGACGAAAGTCATTTCAGCAGAAATGTGCATATTTTATTAGAGGGAGAAATAGTTGCATGTCCCTATGCAAAAAAATGAAGCTTGACCCATGCATCTCACTTTATACACAAATTAACTACAAATGTAAAACCTAAGGCTAACATTTCTGGAGGAAAACACAGGAAAAAACTTATATGGCCTTGTGTTATGCAGATTTCTTAATCATGACACCAAAAATAAGAACAGAAGAAAAAGAAAAATTGATACTAAACTTTTGTCAAATTAAAAAATGCTCAATTTCACTAATCATCAGAGAAATGCAAATCAAAACCACAATGAGATATCATCACACACCAGTTAGAATGGCTATAATCAAAAAGCTGGCAAGATTTCAGAACAAGGGGAAACTTTACATACTGTTGGGAGAAATGTAAATTAGTATAGCCATTGGGGAAAGAAGTATGTAGAAATAGATCTAGTGTATGGTCCAGCAGTCCCACTACTGAATATATTTCTGAATGAAATGAAATTAATTACATTGAAGAGATACCTGCATGCCCATGTTTATTGTAGCATTGCTCACAATAGCCAAGACATGGAAT